TAACTTCAACTGCTAAACTCTTTGAAAAACACAACAATATTCCTTTAGAAAATAACACTTATTTTCATGCTCCATTAGTCTGTTTTTAGTCCTTCATTCCTGATTAGCATAATTGAGAAATCATTGGTGATCAAACTCAAACAGCACCTCTTGCTTTTCATTGACCTGGAATTAGAATGACCAGCATTCATTAAAAGATGAAGTTAAGCCGAATCTAGACAAGACCAAGTCTAACTGCTGCCATCTGTCAGCTACAGGCAAAACCTTGTATCTGCCTCTCATTTTCGGGCCTCTGTGGTCTTTGGCACAACTGTAAAACAACTGTGGACTTACGAAACTACTTTCCTCAGTCAATAACTGTTTGAGATTATTGCTTTTAGCAGTGCACAGAGTAAAAATATTATAAATCAGATAAATGATTCTGTAACTTCAGTATCACTTATGAAATCCATGTTCCAGGCAAAACTGTCTGTGGAAAAGGAAACAGAATTAAAGCAAAAGAAATGTCTGTGAAACATGGAGACCTTTTCTGAATGTACTGCAAGCAGTAAATCTAAAGATCATAGATGCAGAGAAGAAGGTTGATCAGAGTAGCTTGGGAATTAACCAAAAGTATTCCTTACCTTTCTGTTAGCCTCGTGGCACTCTAGCGAGATAAACCAGTAGCAGTAATCTTTTCTCATTTCTTTGAGCAGAGACATAGGAAGATATCAAGGGAGATGGAAAAATAGAAAAAAAAATATAATCTTTGTAAATTGTTATTAAGTCTAATGCTTTTTAAAGAGAGGAGATGGTTAACTGATTTTTACTGTACAATTTAAACATGTTATTAATACATACGCTCTACCAACATGCTCATACCAGTAAAACTGCTTTACACATTAAGTGGACAATCCATAGATAACATGCTGCAGAAACAATCCTGGGAAATAAGGTATGGACAAGATGAATTATAGGCTTTTCTATTTCTCATTACTGTGATTCTGTCAACTACAGCTGCTAGCAGTCAGATATGCTTATTGTTCTTAATGCAATGCATTTGGAAGTCTCGTTAGTCATTCTATATGTGTTCTGCATGGGCCTCAAAGAGATGCCAGCAAAGGCTGGGGATGTAGGATCTGCTGCTTTGCATTTCTGCTACAGTCATTATATTGCTACCATTTCTTTAATCAAGAAATTAAATAACTTGCTTACTCAAGTAATAATTTAACTAGTTTAGAGTCAATCATGTTATTTTTGAAGTAGGAGTTACGCAAGCTTCATCCTTACTTTTGAGCACAGGAAAGTAAGCACTACAAATGACCCTAAACAAAGATGCAATTCAATCATCCTTGGAACAAGGGCGGGAACATGAGCGTATATGTGTCAATGTGTAAAAATACCTCATGGGAGAGACATGGAGGCAGATTCTTCTCAGCGGTACCCAGTGAAAGAGCAAGAGGCAATGGGCACAAACTCCCTTGCACAGCAGCTCACTTCAGCTCCTCTTGAGCAACTTGATTCAAACTCTGTGGGAAATGGAAGAAAATAATGTTCAGAAAGTTTTAATTTTTTGACCTACTATTTTTTCATGAGATGCTGCCCAGAACTGGAGTTCTTTTTTTTTTTTTTTTAACTGAAGATTTGGATGTGGAAGATGAGATCAAGTGTTTTAGGAACAGCTGGAAGTGGGAGTTCAAATAAGAAACTTTCCCATCGATTGTTCTGGAAGGTGAATTGACTAAGCTGGTGATCAAGAGCTGCTTTTCCTACAGGCTAACAGCAATGTAACACTGTTGTTTGGAGAAGTTTCTTTTGCTTTGGATTCATGCAAGTGAAATTTTGAGTGGATCCTGGAAGTGTAGAAGATGGTAAGGAGAAGACTAACCAACCTCCTTTTAATGGAAAACAGTCAGGTAAGCAAGGTTAATAGAAAAGCGAGCAAAGTGTAGAAAAAATGTGTTGGAGGGGAGAAAAACTGGAAATAAATAAATAAGAAGAAAGCAATAGAAGTGTCTGAAAGCAAAAGAAAACTCAACAGCTTATGACATTTACCTGAAAAGATAAATGTTCATTTGGTTCCTCCTTATTGCATTAAGGATATGTTTAGTCTGAACTCCTGCTTTCACTCCATTTTTTTTTCATTCAAATGCAAGAAAGACAATGAGCAATGAGCTAGAAATATACTTTACCAAAGCCCTCTGTTTTTGTAGCTAGCTGAGAATATAGATGTGCAGAGCTGAAGACAACTTCAAAAGAAGTGAGTCGTCAGTAATTTAGAGCAGCACTTTATATTTAATTACTTTGGATGCCTATAGTGGCCTCCCCAAGACACCGTCCCACCAGCCCAGCATTGCAAAAACACCAGTTTCAACTAGCTCATGGACCTGACCTGTCTGCTCTGCCAGGTTTGGTAGTAACACGACAGAAACTAATTGCCTCAAACAGATTATGCCACAAGGGATTGCCCTTTCCTAACTTCAGCTTCAGCCACTTAGTCAGATAAAGGTATGGGAACTTGGATCCTTATCTGATCTATTATACTCCTTTCCCTCCTCTACATCAAATAAACATTATCTCCAAAAGAAAAGTTAATTCTAATATATTCTGAGATGTGTGATCTGAACATGAGCATGAAGGGTACTGAACAATAAAACTATTCCAATTTGTAGTTTTGTATGATTTAAACCATCCTCCAAAAAATAGTTTTGAAAATATGCTTACAGTATTACTTGTTGCCTGTTAGCACTGCTGGATGAAAGACATAAATCCATATACAAAGCTTGAAAACACTTTTGGGACACTTACTGACCCCCCTTGAAAGCTAGATTTAGAAGAACCAGATTTAATTGTGTCTGTAAAATCAGTCATGTTGTTTTTGAAAAGAATGCACCCAAGGTGAATAGGGTGTATTTATGCACACTGTCTACCCACATACTGTTGATAAGACTATCTCCTGCTTTTACCTCGATACCCAGTTTGTAATCACTCTTGTGCAACCCACAGCAAATCAAATTACCTTCCGTCACAAGACTGTTCTACATGGGTGTTAGGCATGTCAACATATCACTTAACAAATGCATCAAGATCTTTTGAATAGAAAAAAATGGGACAGTAAGTCAAGATAATATTTGTTATTAATAAACTTATATGCTACATGCACAGTGTTTAATTAACAAATAGTGCTACATATATTTTGTGCAGAAACATTTGTTCCCATGCCTCTGCGGGAACAGGGACAGAAGGTTTAGGAGCGGTTAGATTATAATGCAGATTATTATTATAATATAGATTTTCATGATCATTTCTTCTAACTCCTTGCCTCTTACCAGCTAGCCTCTGCTCCTGCATTACAACCATCATCATGTGTTTGGTAAACACCTCCAAGCATTGCTGTATCTTGTGTTGTTACCTCCAGGATAAAAGAGATGGTGACTTCTGGTGGTGCCACTTGCCCTAACTTGTGGTCTCAAGCAATTGCACAACCACGATCTACCTGCTGTGGCGCTTTGCAATTCAGAGGCATTTTCAAAAGCCTCTGATTTGTTCTGCTTGGACCTACGTAAACATAAACAGAAGCGCACCTTTGTATGCCGTTCCAATGCTCAGACAGGGTTTGCACGCTTTCATCTCCCACCAGCTGGGCACGGCCTAACGCCCGCAGCCCGCTCCCTAACCGCGCTGCCATCAACACCCGCCGTGCGGAAGGATAACGCTTCACACACCGGAGGACATGAACGAGGCCAGGCGAGGTTTGCTTTGACACTGGGGGAAAAAAAAGGGAAACCCGGAGATATCTCCGAGGAAGCGCCACTCGCGGAGGAGGGAGGGAGGCGGCAGGGCCCTGCGGAGCTGCCCTGGAGATGGCAGCATTGAGCAAGTAATTTTCCAGAGCCATCTGCCCGCCCCTCGCCGCGTCCCTTGCAGCAGGGCTTGCGCAGCTCCACGTTGCAGCCCCGCGCGCTGCAGATCGCGTTGAATATTCAGCTCGGTTTAGCACGCAGTGGTTGGGGGAAGCGCAGTAACCGCCTGGCGCTACGTGGGGAAACGAATCTGCGCTCGGCAGCCCCGCGGGCAGCGGGACTCGCGCCTAGAGTCACGCGAGGGACAGCGGCCGTGGGGAGCG